AACAAAGGAACAAATAAATAATTGTGTTTCTGCATTCCTTTAAGACTGCTCCATAAAATAAGAAAGCAACCCATAAGCCTTTGACAGAGATAAATGCAAAGTTTTTTCTGGTCGTGAAATTCTGCAAAATAATTCCCTCCGGTACCAGGGATAATGACTTACTTTTGGGGTCCTGACAGATAATTCAGATTCACCCGAATCCGTGGGGAGGGGGGGGCTTCCTTCTGGAAGGGGGTGTCCAAGGGCCGCGGTCCAGGCTCCTTCCCAGATGCCCCCGTGGCACCTGCGTTCAGATCCTCTCCAAGGCCGTCATCCGTCTCCAGGAAATAGTGGGATTTCTCCATCGTCCAGGAGGCTGGCAGGGTGACAGTGGCAGGTGGGCCAAGGGGCGATCCCAAAGAAATGGATGAGGAGGGGTTGTGGGGAAGAGGGTGGGCTAGACACGGGGGTCTGAGGCGGCAGTCCACTCTCTCTCAGCCCAGCCTTGTGGGGAGAAAATAAAGGCCAGGAAGAAAAAGAAATTGGCAAGTAAAAAGAAAGAGGAGGGGAGGAGGAGAAGGGGAGGAGGAGAGAGGAGGAGAAGGAGGAGGAGAGGACAGGAGAGGAGAGGAGGAGAGACCATATAGGTCAGTGGTGGCGAACCTTTTAGAGACCGAGTGCCCAAACTGCAACCCAAAACCCACTTATGTATCGCTGGGTGCCGGGTGGGCGTGGCCCATTGGATGGGCGTGGCTGTGGTGGTCATGGCAGACTGAATGGGTGTGGCCAAAGTAGGCGTGGTCACCTTAATGTTGCTCGTGGGGAGGCACACCTGTGGGGGCCGGGCAGGGTTGGGGGAGATCCAGGGAGTCTCTGGCAGGTGGAGCGGTGGGCAGGAGAATTGTTCTGCGGAGTGAGGCGAGGTAAAGCGAGGCAGGGCGGGGGTGCCATTGTCGCAAGGCAAGGCGGGCCAGGATGGCTGCTGCCTGACACCATCGACCCCCCGCACACAGAGGCCAACGAGCGCATGGGGGCCGACAGTGCCCGTCAGCAGCCACAGCCTGCCAGCCCTCGACCGGCGCACTCGGGGGCTCTGCAGCCCACCACCAGCAGTTCAGAGAAGCCGCCTCTGAGCTGGACGGCCGGCCGACAGTTGAGGAGGCGATGCAGTAGGTCGTGCCCGGGAAAAGGAGCGCATGCGAGGCCAGGAGGGATGGGACAGGGGGGGAGGGAAACCAACCGTGCTGGGATGCATCCGGCCATGTGGGACCTCGGTGAGTTAGTGGGCAGCTGGTTGAAGAGAGACAATTGCCATCTCCGGGGCATGGCGCATGTGCCCACAGAGAGGGCTCTGAGTGCCGCCTCTGGCACGCGTGCCATAGGTTCGCCACCACTGGTATAGGTAATCCTCGAATTACAACTGTTCATTTACTTGTAATTAGTAATAGTAATAGTAGTAAAGTTGGAAGGGACCTCGGAGGTCATCTAGTCCAACCTCCTGCTCAGGCAGGAAACCCTACACCCTTTCGGACAAATGGCTGTCCATTAGTTAGTTCATTTAGTGACTGTTTCAAGTTACAACGGCACTGAAAAAAGTGGCCTATGACCATTTTTCACACTTAACAACCGTTGCAGCCTCCCCGTGGTCACATGATCAAAACCAGACACTTGGCAACTGACCCACATTTATGACGGTCGCAGTGTCCCAGGGTCACGTGATCCCCTTCTGCGACCAGCCAAGCGAAGTCAACGGGGGAAGCCAGATCCACTTAACAGCCATGCTACTAAATGAACAACTGCAGTGATTCACTTAACAACTGTGGCGGGAAAAGTCATAAACTGGGGCAAAATTCACTGAACCACTGTCTTGCTTAGCGACGGAAATACGACCGATCAGCCCAGGACTCTCCGCCCAAGGCGAAAAGGATGTCAAACCGTTTGTGAACTTTCCAAATTTAGAATTTTCCGGAGGAAGCCGAAAGAGAGGAAGTGGACGAGGAGGCTGTTACAGCCCGGAAGGCTTTCGCACCGCTGGGGTTGTGTGTCCATTGTGTCCTTTCCTGGATCAGGGGACCCTGTGCAGAGTCCCGCCTGCTTTGGCCATCTCCTGGCTGGATTGCTACAATCTGCCCTTTGTGGGGTTGCCCTTGAAGAGTATGCAGAAGCTGCATCTGGTTTATAAGGCGGCAGTTGCTTCATTTGCACCAGGGGCATCGTTCCTTCAAAGCAGGGGTCTTTCCACTTGGCCCTTTGAGGACTTGTGGACTTCAACTCCCAGAATTCCTCAGCCAGGCATGCCTGGCTGAGGAATTCTGGGAGTTGAAGTCCACAAGTCCTCAAAGGGCCAAGTTGGAAGACCCCTGCTTCAAAACCACATTGGCTGCCAATCTGCTGTCAGGTGCAACTCAAGATGGTGGTGGTGGTCCCCTGTGAGACCCCTGCTATTTGCAGGACCCCCTCTGGGATCAGATTTCCCATCCCCGCAGGTCCAGCCAAAGAGGTCTGCTCTGGGTCCCACCCGTTATAAAGTGCCCTCTGGTGAGACCCCAGGAGACAGCCCTTGCCCTGTGGAGCATCAGCCCCCCCCCTAGATTAGATTGGCCCTCAGACTGTATGTATGTTGTATGTCCTGGGGGGGGGGCTGGAGGATCAGTTAGAGGATGTTTCTCAAACTTGGCCACTTAGTCTGGACTTACTAACTGACTACTAATTGTCCTGTTGGGGGGGAGGAGGAGGAGGAGGGGAAGAAGGAAGGAAGAGGAGGGGAAGAAGGAAGGAAGGAAGGAAGGAAGGAAGGAAGGAAGGAAGGAAGGAAGGAAGGAAGGAAGGGGAGGGGAGGGGAGGGGAGGGGAGGGAAGGGAAGAAGGCCTGGATTTTAAGAAGGGAGGGAGGAAGGGAGAAAAGAAAGGTGGAAAGTTTGAGGAAGGAAGGAAGGTCTGGAGTTTAAGAAGGAAGGAAGGAAGGAAGGAAGGAAGGAAGGAAGGAAGGAAGGAAGGAAGGAAGGAAGGAAGGAAGGAAGGAAAGGGAAGGGAAGAAGGCCTGGATTTTAAGAAGGGAGGGAGGGAGGGAGGGAGGGAGGAAAGAAAGGTGGAAAGTTTGAGGAAGGAAGGAAGGTCTGGAGTTTAAGAAGGAAGGAAGGAAGGAAGGAAGGAAGGAAGGAAGGAAGGAAGGAAGGAAGGAAGGAAGGAAGGAAGGAAGGAAGGAAGGAAAGGGAAGGGAAGGGAAGGGAAGGGAAGAAGGCCTGGAATTTAAGAAGGGAGGGAGGGAGGAAAGAAAGGTGGAAAGTTTGAGGAAGGAAGGAAGGTCTGGAGTTTAAGAAGGAAGGATGGAAGGGAAGGAGAAAGGGAAGGAGGAAGGAAGGAAGGAAGGAAGGAAGGAAGGAAGGAAGGAAGGAAGGAAGGAAGGAAGGAAGGAAGGAAGGAAGGAAGGAAAAAATGGAGAAGGAAGGAGGGAGGGAGCAGGAGTTGAAAGGAGGAAAAAAAAGGAGAGGATGGGGATGGACTAAAGGAACAGTAACGGGGAGGAGGAGGATAAGGAAGACGGGGAAAGTATCCAAGTTGCTAGTCCTCAGGCAACTGGAAATGAACCCACCCAGCTGCTTGTTCAAGAGAATGAAGCGTTATCATTTGAGGAACTTAAAGCCTTCCTTTGGAAGCTTGTGACTTCGGGTGGCAACTTCGCAACTGCTCTTCCTGAGAGAAGTTCCCCCCCCCCCAAACACACACACACACCCGAATTGAAGAAGTCTCAGCTCCATTACAAAAAACCACACACAAGGCTGCTTCCTTGTGGGCTTGCCATTTGTCTGTGTGGTGTTTGTGTGTGCACAGAAGCAAACACAAACAGAAAGAAGAGAGATCAGCAACAAATTGTTGCTGGCATCTCCACTCCGTCATCGTGGGCTTTCTGCCACCCCACCCAGTTTCCACGGGCAGAAAATATTTCCAATTAATATACTAATCTAAGCATTGTCGACCCTCATTTGGGGGGGGGGTATTTATTTACAATTCTTAAAAAAAAAACATTCCTGGGCAGATTGAAAATATAATAACCCTCCAAATCAGTGTTTCTTAGGATGCCTGGGGGGGGGGTTCCTCAAGACCCTCTCAGAGGTTTATGCAAACTCAAAATTATTGGAAAATAATCCAGTATCCAAATCCCATCAAACAATTGCGAGAAGCAGCACTGTGTCAGCCCTGCAGTAAATATCAATAAATATAAACCCTACGAATGAAATATCATTTAGCATTTCTCATGATGTATGAAACGGGGAACGGGTGGGAGAATTAAATTTTAAAAAGCTCTGATCCCAATAAACCCATTCTTACCTATCTGGTCCTGGAAAAGAAGAGACTGTATTCTACACGAGGCAGAAATCCAACAGGTTCAGTTCCTACCTCTGGGAACACATATTAGGATGTGTTTCATTTAGCACTGCCCGGCTTAAATTAAATGCCTCCGAATAGAAGCAATGCAAAAAATAAACAGCCTATTTTTCTGCCTCTCGTCTAAAAACCAACCTGTCCATCTGTTTTGATCTTGTCACCAGAGGTGCCCTCTGCACATGCTCTAAAGCCCACTCAGTCGTGAGCCAAATGGTCCTATTTTAAGGTTTGGAAGGACGTTTATTAAGATTAGTAAGAAGATACTCACTGACAAGTGGGTTTTCACGATGCTTGATTGCTCCAGATTTCTAGAATCCTTTGCAGGGATCTTCAGCGACCGAGTTGAGCTGGCAAATCCTAAAAAATTGACGTGATTTTGGGGCCATGCAGCCCAATGCAGCCTCTCCACACCAAGATCGGCAGCACGGAGGAAGAGCAAGGGTTCCACCCAGTGCAGAGAAGTCTGGAGTATCTCTGCCAGCTAGGATGTTGTAAAGGAGGAGGTAGAGGAAACGGTTTGAGTTCCCAGCACGAGAAGACAAATGAGATCAGAGGCTCAGTGGTCAGATATAGGCATTGCACCATTTCTTTCTTTCTTTCTTTCTTTCTTTCTTTCTTTCTTTCTTTCTTTCTTTCTTTCTTTCTTTCTCTCTCTCTCTCTCTCTCTCTCTCTCTTTCTTCCTTCCTTCCCTTCCCTTTCTTTCTTTCCTTCCTTCTTCCTTTCTTTCTTTCTTTCTTTCTTCCTTCCTTTTTCTTTCTTTCTTTCTTCCTTCCTTCCTTTCTCTTTCTTTCTTTCTTTCTTTCTTTCTTTCTTCCTTCCTTTCTCTTTCTTTCTTTCTTTCTTTCTTTCTTTCTTTCTTTCTCTTTCTTTTTCTTTCCTTCCTTCCTCTTTCTTTCTTTCTTTCTTTCTCTTTCTTCTTTCCTTCCTTTCTCTTTCTTTCTTTCCTTCCTTCTTCCTTTCTCTTTCTTTCTTTCTTTCTTTCTTTCTTTCTTTCCTTCCTTCCTTCCTTCCTTCCTCTTTCTTTCTTTCTTTCTTTCTCTTTCTTTCTTTCCTTCCTTCCTTCTTCCTTTCTCTTTCTTTCTTCCTTCCTTCCTTTCTCTTTCTTTCTTTCCTTCCTTCCTTCCTTCCTTACTTACTTACTTACTTAATTTCTCTTTCTTGCTTGCTTGCTTTCTTTCTTTCTTTCAAATAATATTTTATTGATTTTTCTTTTTATTACATTTCATTAGTGCTTAGTAAACGTTGTGTCTGGATTGATTTCTTATATTTAGTAATACAAGTTAAATTCTTACTTTCTGTCCCATTTTTTCTAGCCGTTGATAAAATAAGTTCCACGTTTGAAAATATTCTGTATCAGGGGCTGCCACAAAGAAGACGTAGTCAAGCTATTCTCCAAAGCACCTGAAGGCAGGACAAGAAGCACGGATGGAAACTAATCAAGGAGAGAAGCAACCTAGAACTAAGGAGAAACTTCCTGATAGTGAGAACAATTAACCAGTGGAACAACCTGCCTCCAGAAGCGGTGAATGCTCCAACACTGGAGGTTTTTAAGAAGAGACTGGACAGCTATTTGTCCGAAATGGTATAGGGTTTCCTGCCTGAGCAGGGGGTTGGACCAGATGACCTCCAAGGTCCCTTCCAACTTTATTATTATTATTATTATTTGTCTTTAATCCTCAAAGTGAGTCTGTCCGTTTCAGCACGGTCTAATATTTCCTGATTATCTCTCCATCCAATTTCTTCGTTTTTCCAATGCTGAGCAAATACAATCCTTAATACATGTAATGTTAAATATACACTGTGTTTATCAAGTTTTTCTGGAATTATGCCTAATAAAAAAAAGTTCAGGTTTAAAATCTACCCATTTCCCTAACATTTTCTCTGACCAAGTATGTATTTTTGTGCAATTTTTTTTTTTTTTTGCTTTAATACACATCCACCACAAGTGATAGTATGTACTAGGTTTAGGGTTACATTTCCAACGTTTACTAGACATATTTTTAAACATTTTTGCTAATCTGGCAGGTGTTAAGTGCCATCTATAAAACATTTTATGTAGATTTTCTTGATATGAAGTTGCCATTGTCAATCTATACCGTTTTCTTTCCCATAAATTTTGCCGTTTCTCTAGTTCTATATTATATCCAAAGTTTTTCACCCACGTTATCGTGGTTTCTTTCACTAATTCATCTTCCATTTTCAAATTCAGTAAAAAAATTATAGAATTTCTTAATCAATTTTTCATCAGAGGTCAATAACATCGGATTCAAACATTGTCTGGTCTTTATAGAAACCATATATTTTAACATTTTTATTATATCTCGATTGCATTTGCAGTCGAGGCCACCATGATAAGTCAATACCCATCCCTCCATTTCAAGATTGTATTTAGAAGCACCAAGAACATTGCTGGCCTTTATATTTAACCACCGTCTGTCTAAAGTGGAAAAACAGAGTCCCGAGGCTTGTGAGATGTTTCTTCTCCTTTTTTTGATCCTTGTGAGAATTTTTTTGCTCCCTTGCCTTCGGTTTGTCATGTGCAATCCCCCAGGGCTCCCATAGAATCAAGTGGATATTTGCTTAAAAACCCAAACATGCTTCCTTTGAAAAGAAAGAGGTCAAAAGAGAAAAAAAATAAATAAGATTATGCAAAAGGGGATCTGGTGAGGATCAGAAAGGTTTTTGAGGCCTGCTTTGGTGCCCTGGGGAGGGGGGGGTACCCAGACAGCTGCCTGATGCATTATGTGCTGATGTGTATAGATTGAATATCGATGTAAGTGTCTAGTCCTCATGGTGGAGAAGGGGATTGCATTTTTTTTCCCCAAATGGGTGAGGGGGAAATTCTAGGAGACCTAGAAAACTGGTCTTCATTCAGGGTCTGGGGGGGGGGATTAAATTGTACAGAGTAAGAGCAAGGAATTTTTGCATAAAATGAAACAAAATGAAATAAATACATTTAAGATATGATACGATACAATACGATATGATACTACAGCTAGTCCTTGACTTATGACTACAACTGAGTCCAGGATTTTTGTTGCTGAGACCGTTGTATAAAGTGTGTTTTGCCTTGCTTTATGACCTTCGTTGTTAAGTGAATCCCTGCAGCTGTTAAATTAATAACATGGTTGTTAATTGAATCTGGCTTCCCCATGGACTTGGCTTGTTGGAAAGTCGCAAAAGAGGGATCGCGTGATCCCGAGGACGCCACAGCCGTCATAAATATGAACCAGTTGCCAAGTGACTGGATTTTGATCACATGACCATGGGGCTGCTGCAACGGTCGTAAGTGTGGAAACCCAGTCGTAATTCGCTTTTTTTCCAGTGCCCTTGTAACTTCAAACGTTCGCTGAATGAATAGTTGTAAATGGAGGACTAGCTGTAGAACACGATATAGTTCAACACAACGAAATGCATTTCTTATGATTTATTAAGTAGGTCTAGCACTGAAGGGAACACTGTCATCCCTTGTGACACATCGCTTGTGACTTATATTTTCTCCTACTGGAGGAAGTGAAACGGAATCTAGGAAGGGGTCTGCCTATGTCTAGTTTAGGTATATCTAGTGTCTAATGAAGAGAAGGACGAGGGGGGATAGGATAGCAGGGTTCCAGTATCTCAGGGGCTGCCCCAAAGAAGAGGGAGTCAAGCTGTTCTCCAAAGCGCCGGAAGGCAGGAAAAGAAGCAACGGATGGAAACCAATCAAGGAGAGAAGCAATCTAGAACTAAGGAGAAACTTCCTGACAGTGAGAACAATTAACCAGTGGAACAACCTGCCTCCAGAAGTGGTGACTGGACAGCCATTTGTCCGAAATGGTATAGGGTTTCCTGCCTGAGCAGGGGGTTGGACTAATACTAGATGATCTCCAAGGTCCCTTCCAACTCTGCAAACTGGGTGGGATTATTATTAATTATTATTATTAATAATTATTATTATTGTTGTTGTTGTTGTGGCATAGAGGGTTGGACTAGTAGACCTCCAAGGTCCCTTCCAACTTTATTATAATTATTGTTGTTGTTATTATTATTGTTGTTATTATTGTTGTTGTTATTATTCCGGCCTGTGAATATCTCACTTTAAATGCAGACTCAAAACACATTTTGCAAAGAGGAAGGGCCAGTTTGCTGGAGTGGACTTAAAACCACAACTGAGCCCAAAATTTATGTTGCTAAGTGAAACATTCGTTAAGTGAGTTTTGCCCTATTTTACGACCTTTCTTGCTACCTTTGCTAAGCGAATCACTGCAGCTGTTAAGTTAGTCACGCTGTCGTTAAGTGAATCTTGCTCCCTGTTGACTTTGCTCAGCAGAAGGTCACCAAAGGGGATCACATGACACCCCGGGGACGCTGCGACGGTCATAAATATGAGTCAGTTGCCAAGCGTCCAAATTTTGATCATGTGACTACGGGGAGGCGGCAACGGGCGTAAGTGCGAAAAACGGTCATAAGGCACATTTTTCAGTGCCGTTGTAACTTCCAACAGTCACTAAACGAATGGTTGTAAGTCAAGGATGACCTGTAGTATAGAGCTTAAATGCTGGACATTTTTTTAAGGGCAAGAAATCCCTTTTTTATCACTCTGACCAGCAACCGCAGCAGTACCAAATGAGACGGAAGTTTAAAGATAGTCCTCAACTTACAACTGTTCATTTAATGACCGATCAAAGTTACAACAGCACTGAAGAAAGGGACTTACAACCGTTTTTCACACTTACGACCGTTGCAGCATCTCCGTGGTCACAGGATCAAAATTCAGATGCTCAGCAACTGACTCGTATTTACAACGGTCGCAGTGTCCCCGGGTCACGTGCTCCCCCTTTTGCGACTTGTGACCAGCAAAGTCAACGGGGGAAACCAGATTCGCTTAACGACCGTGTTATGGACATATCAACTGCAGGGATTCACTTAACAAGTGTGTCAAAAAGGGTGGTAAAATGGAGCAAAAAAAATTCACTTAACAAACGTCTCGCTTAGCAACACAAATTTGGGCTTCAGTTGTGGTCGTAAGCTGAGGGCCACCTGTTCTTCATTTCTGCTAAAATGGACAATTGTCCAATAAGGTCAGCGATGTCCTTTTGATCCTGCAGTGGTGTTTCCCGTCTTTCGTCAATTTAAATTCGATGGACTTCAGTTCCCAGAATTCCCCAGCCAGCATGGCTGGAAGTCCATCCCCCTTAAAGCATGCTGTCTGGGGAATTCTGGGAGTGGAAGTTCACATTTTAAAGCATTCTTGCTGGGGAATTCTGGGAGTTGAAGTCCATTTATGTTAAAGCATGCTGACTGGGGAATCCTGGGAGTGGAAGTCCACTCCTCTTAAAGCAGGCTGGCTGGGGAATTCTGGGAGTGGAAGTTCACATCTTAAAGCAAACTGGCTAGGGGATTTTAGGAGTGGAAGTTCCCCCATCTTAAAGCAGGCTGGCTGGGGAATTCTGGGAGTGGAAGTCCACCCCTCTTAAAGCAGGCTGGCTGGGGAATTCTGGGAGTGGACGTCCACCCCTCTTAAAGCAGGCTGGCTGGGGAATTCTGGGAGTGGAAGTCCACCCCTCTTAAAGCAGGCTGGCTGGGGAATTCTGGGAGTGGAAGTCCACCCCTCTTAAAGCAGGCTGGCTGGGGATTTCTGGTTGTGTTCTGCCCT